AAGTTAATGATAATAAAACTGCCTGACCACGTTGACATCAGTCATTTGGTAAAAAGACAGCAGAGATGCCATCCGAAGGAGAGGGGATGGAAGTTAGAAAAAAAACTGTGCCTACAGCACCTTCAGAGGTTGTGGTACCTGAAGCTGAAAATGCACCAGCTGAAGATTTTTTCCTACTCTCATTTAACAAAATGTCCATGCTCGTGTTCCTTCTCTAAACACAATGATCCAAAGTAACACTTCAAGTTTACATATTCCTGTTCTTTAAATTTCCTGTTATCGGCATGAGGTCGTTACACCACCGTCTATCACCGTGTTATAACCGTACTTGTTGGCAATATCCGGGACATTACCAGCTCCAACCGGAGCGTTGTTGCCAGTGACCTCAATGTACCCTGGCTCTACCGTAGCTCTGCCTGTTTTTACCGTGGCAACATCGTGTCATCACCGGGGCTTTGCCTTTTGGACATTGATTGACACGCATCCCGGTTTACTACGATTTGTCACGGTATGGATTCGGTATAGATACGGTGGTTTCCTGGCAATTTCCTGTTCCAAACCGATAGAACACGGTTTTGGGCTTCCTCCCGGTGAGTGCCGGTGAGCCCCGGTTGTATTAAACATTTAAATACAACCGTGACGATCTCTCAGTTTGTTCCGGTTCACCATGGTTTGTCCCTTTACTTTACGGAATTGCAACGGCCCAACGCCGGTTTACCACGGTTGATCCCGGTTGACTAAACCGTGGCAAACCGGGACACCAAACCGGGACACCAAACCGCCCGTGTATGACTGTATTACTATTAGTACTAGCAAGAAAAAAAAGTCTTCAAATCAATAAAATTTTTTAGACCGAATTCTGATCGCGACAATATCATAATACCTTTAAGATGTTGTCAATCGGGGTTATAAAAAAGGAGAGACAAAAGAAAAATACTTATCTATTGAGACTTGAATTTCATTTGTATCTTTCTAGAATACGCTTTCTAGCGTCAATATTACATTAAATAGCAGCTCAAAACCTCGATATTTAGGTTCATAAAAGAAAACAATTATAACAAAGATACTTTTTGTTAAATGGCAATTACAGTAAAAATAACTATGAGAGCGTTAAAAAGTAAAATACTACTACTTTTAATCATGATTTTAACATGAATTAATATCTTATTTATATCTTGCGACATTTAACGGTAGTGTTGCGACATTTAACGGTAGGGGAAATTCGTGCGACATTTAACGTAAACATTGCGACATCTAACGGCAAATGATTTTGCGACATTTAGCGGCAGTTGCGACATTTAGCGGCGTTGCGACATATAACGGCGCCACAAACATCGTAAACGGAGTAACATTTATATACTCTTATTAATACTTATTCGTCCACAGCCAAATACAATACTCGTATACGTACATGGAATGTCATATTTGGTCAGTTTAATTTAAGTTAGTTCTAAATTGGTTTCATTCTGTCACATGTGTCGAAATAACGAACCTCCTTTTAAATTTGGTTCCTAAGTTCGGCACTCACGCCTTGGCAGGAAATTTAACTTTAGACAAGCATAATTTGACAAAAATTAAGTAATACTTTTACTGTTACATAGGTGAACCTCTTACACCTTCCCCTAAGGAGCGACTATTTTATGTTCAAACTTTCGAGCCACACTTTGGTACTAACCAATGTCAGCAAAATCGGTGCCTATGTGGTCTGAATTTTCTTAATGACGCCATCAAATGAATGATGGACGTAAATATCGATCAAAATATCAGTAAAAGGCTTAATTTTGAGATTTCATGATGTTTGTAAAAAAAAGGTGTCGAATTAATGAACCATGTCAAATCATTTTAGAAGTAGAATTTCCTTTGAATTGACCGATTATTTGTTTTGTTCTTTTTACGTTTTACGAATAAAACATAGGCTTAAAAATGAAATAAAATACTGGCTGAGTTGTGGAGTAAAACACGATGTAACACATATTATGTAACGTAACAAACTTTACTTTCTCTCTTTGCATTAATAAGAATATTAAAGTGTCGATATATAAAAATCTTCTAATTAAATACATACAATTGTGCAAATATTCTATTTACAAAAAATCTCCCAGATAGCATACTTCTCTAAATTCTAAATAATAGAAATTTGTTATTTATTTAGAGTTCAGTTTTACTTTTTCAACCCTTTTTTTTAATCGTTTAAAATGATATTTTCTTAATGTATTTCAAAATTTAAAATGTTCATGACACAGAAACAGAATGGCTAATAGCCAAACATCAAAGTGCAAAACAATCTTTAGATCCTTAAAAGTTACTTTAATGTACAATTGAGCAAGTTTCAGGGTTAATAAGTAACATATCTTAATATACAATCTACATCTACAATTGTGCATAATTAAAAAAAATGATAAAATGATATTTTTAATTTGAGCAATATATAAAAACAACAGTTTTGAAAGAAACAAATGTCATGAAACAACAGATGTAATATAGGTATTTACTATTCCATCATTGTATAATTGATTAAGTAAAAAATTAATCAGAACACCTCGCCGATTATTCATTATCATCTTGGAGTAATTAACTTATTCAACAGTTAATAATTGTATATCACCAAAATGCAAATAACAACGTGACATTAAGTACTGTATATTTGACCTCTGTTATGTTTTACTTATAGGTAAATGTTCCTTATTTGTAGTGAAATTATCTTCCCCTTATATTTCTATTACATAAATGAACTCGATAATCATTGGAGAAGTTACAATATACGGGAAGTGAATGGGGTTATGGTACATTTCTGTGATTAACAAAGTAAAACATGTATATAATTCATTAATTTTGTTGTTAATTTATAATTAATCATTGCTAGGTTCACAAATTTTTTTAGGATTAACAACATATATAAAATGAAAACAATCGTCAATTAATCAAATTTTGCTATATATGAAGATAACATAAAATAATGTATTAAAGACATTTTAGACAATGCAACAGGAGGTATGCATAATGAACAGATGAATGAATAAATTATGAATTATTATAATAAAAGGAAATTTATATAGTTACAATATACATTTAAAAATTAATCTTTTCAGATAAGATGTGTAAATTTAATTTACGTCAAAAAACAAAAAGAAAAGACTTAACAATTTGTGTATATAAATAGGTTTGCATAATATAGTTATTGTGAATACAATTCTAGCATGCCTTTCAAATATTTTGTAAAACCGTATTAAACGTGATCAGCTGCATAGTTATTTATCTTAAAGGACGAGAAAATACGAGAAAACACTATAAATGTAGTTAAATTCTTAAGGGAGTATGTAACAGACCAACGACATTAATTAAATTTGTTGTCCGCAGGCCGGTGCTTTATAACAAAATTTGTAATACGCTTCCCTTAAGTTTGAATATACATCTAAGCGTAAAGACATTGAATGAAATATTAATAAAAAACAATAAATCGTTTTTAATTTGTTTTTTTATACTAAGATGCTTCATGTAACGGATCAATATAGTAGTTTGCACGAGCATAAATCTTTAAGCAGGTCAATGTACACGATTTGATTGTGCTATAACTGCATTTCTAATACAAGTATTGCTGAAATGTCTAGAATATAATGTCAATAACATCTTTTTCTGTGTTTCAATACAAACTTTGAAAAAGATTGCATAAAGATAGAAATCGATGGTTCGTTAAGCTGTAAATCATCTTTACAAATCTCTCCACGAATATCATAGTCTACAATAGTCGCTTGTATTTGGAGCACATGACAATCAAAACGACTTTAAATAATTGAGCTATTAATTTATTTAACACTTTGCAAAATCGAATAATTCATTAATAAATGATTCCTTTAAATTCATATCCTATTGGCGAAGGTAAAACTTTAACATGAAAATTAGTTTTAAAACTTCAGTGTTAAACAATATAAGTTTTTTGCAAATATTGTTATGACATTTTTGTACATTGCACAAAAATATATTAATAAATGAAATTTTAAATGTTACCTCCAATAGTGGTTTATGTATTATGAGAGAAAGTATTTGAGTAACCAATTCTCAGATTGATTTCTCAATTACGTGTATTAAGAACTAACTAAATTTCGCCAAAAATGAATATATTGTTGGTAATTTAATGACGAAACAACCGTTTCTATGGAATCGTTTAATGGTCTCATTTTTTCCTGTTATTTCATCTGAGTTAATCATAGAAAAATATTAGCTCTATCGTGGAGGGTTTTTTTTACTGTTAATCATTTTCTTAGGAGAAACTTGTCGGGAAATAGTGCGTTAATTTCGACAATTTTTGTTCCAGGACGGCTCAGAGACTGAATAAGTATTGATTACAACGGTAATAATTCTAGGAGAATTCTCCTTCGGGACATTTCTATAATTAACCAGCGACTACAGTAACCCTCTCTCTAGTACGTAAAACGCATGCAATAGAACTAGCTATATGCTTTTCATAATCAATAATGAAATAAAATCTACAAGAACAGTTTGTTTGTGAAGAAATAAAAAGTAAAAAATTACTTATTTACTTATCACAAATATTTTTCACATTTGTTTTGTAATTCCGTTCGTTGTTTAAAATAATCATCATCGTTATCATCATTTCTTTTGTGCTTTTTAAATTTTTTTTGTTTAGTTCTGTTTATTATGCAAGTAATCCTTACAGGAAAAATATTGAGCCAATAGTATCAATACCATGACACAAACGTTATATGCAATCATTATAACGAATCGCTTTGCTTTTGTTCTAAAACTATGTTATATGCGTGATTCACTTAAGTAATATGAATTAGAGTATACATATCGTACGAATAACAACCTTAAACAAATCAGTATACATCAACACTTGTTATACCTCCATATTTTCTTATGCATATTTTAATTTTAATTCAACTGAATATATATGCATCTGAATTGTAATGTGTAACAGATTACACGGAGTGTTATTACTCTTTCAATAAAATATTCTGCAATTATAATTTTCTTTGCCGAAAGACAATTTGTTTTTTAGTAAACGAAATGTACATAGACAATTCAGATGTTTTCACAGGAAACATCAATAGAAAAAATTGTGTTAACATTCAAATAAATCTGATAGACTTTCCCGCACTATAATTTGTTAAAGTCAATTTTCATTGAAAATATCCCGATAGTCTTTATTGTTCTCTATTATTTTGATTATATAAATTCCCCACGGAACTATAACTGTTATCGAACCGAAGCGTGCTTTGTACAAGAGAATAAGCCTGTTTTTGAGATACATACTTCTATCAAGGGATCGTATATTATTGAGAGTATCGAACGGTAACTCATGGTTTTAGTAGAAACAACGGTACGCTTCAGTTGAATAGATTATTGAAATTACTAATTGATGACTGGTTCCGAGTAGGCAGAATTGGAACACGTTACTTCAACAAAAATCTATACAAGTGATATAGAACGCGACACTGACGTGTTATACCGTGTTGTAATTGATTTCAATTACCGCTGCTATATGTACATCATCCTGAGAAAGCCACTTCAGCAAAATCCAATTCTTCAAGAAAACTTACGTCTTATTAGAATACTCGCTATAACCTAGAAGTAACTGCGAAATCCTAACCTAATTCTAGTCTCTTTTTCAAAACTCGCAAAAGGAATTGAATCTTGTAAAATTGTCTGAGTCACGTATTTTGAATTGTTTTCAAATATGTTTTCACCATGTTTACCTCTCTTTGTCGGAGTAATATGTCTAGAAAATCAATACATGCTTAGAATGTAATCAAAAATTGAATAAAACAATACGTTTATATAGAGAACACACGAGGTTAAATATACCTATCACTACTATACGTTGATTATGAAGAAGTAAAAATAATACAAATACATTTTGCTAAATATATGAGAAATTGTATATGTGACGTATGTACATTTTTGTCTCTCCTTGCCTAACATATGGTGCATAATTCAATACTGGTGAGCCATCTGACGCAGACATTTCATTCAATAAAGGACAAATCTAATAATAGTATATATAAGAACCTGTCAATGATCTAGAGATATAGGATACACTTAGATTAGCAGAAAAAAGAACAAATGACTAATGTGTAAAAATGCATATCTTTTAAAAACCTCTTATGCATTTAAACATTATTTTCTAATAATTCTATTATGACGAAACTATCAAACAATGACTAAGCAAAGTGTATTATAACATTTTATCTTATTTATTATAGAATTTAATTAGCAATGCTTCTGTTACATATTGATTTGTGTTGCCCCTAAAGATCTAGTTAATAATTTATAACGTTCATTTTATTGATTTCGTTTATGTACATAAGTTTACATTACTTCTAGAAAAAAAGCAGGTAATGATGAAAATAACCGTTTTTATCGGCCACATAAATGGTCTTAAAGGTATATTTTTAATATTTATAATAATTTCATTTTTCAACATTAAGAAAATCTTATTAAGCAATACTCAAACGACATTACTTTTAACCCTACAGCCGACTGTAAGGCTTTACTTCAGACTGTTATTTTTCGAATATTGTTTTTTTTTTAATTCATATCTAGATATCTATGATAATTGTTGCCATGTATTTCATTTTTATACATAACTGTTTTGATGTAAGATATGTTAAATGATAAGATATATATTACAAACAAGTAATACAATTCTTTATACGAAGAAATTAAAAAAGAAATAGAATAAATACAGCATAAATTAGCCTTGCTATGGAAGTGTTTATTTCTGGAGAATATATTACGAGTAAATTATTTGTCAAGCATTGAACATCTACAAAATATAGTACATTGTAATGTGTTATTATCTTAAATCTAAATAATGTGGTCAATTAAAAATATGACTTTAGTGCCACGCAAATCAAGACTTGAATATATTATAAGCCAATCTTTTAATATCATACAAAAGTCTATGAATTAAAAACAAACTAATGATAATTAAAAGATACTCAAAAGATTATAAACGTTTTCATTCATTTCAGTTTAGAATAAGAACAGAAATTAGTTTTTGATCTTTATTTGATTTCTTACTTTCTTTTATTTACACACATACTGCTTTTATATTAACGTCTTTGTTTAAAATTCCCTTCACGAAAAATTCTCTGGAATTCATTTAATAATGATTTCAGAATATGTGCTTTAAATCAAACGTTTAGATGAATTACTTCAAGAAAGGTTTGATATTGAAAACCAAACATGTTAAATATAGTTTGGTTTAAACAGGCTAATTTTCCGTACCAAATAGCTCTTGCGGAATTACGTCAGTATGATTGACTTTAAAACGGCAGTGATAATGATAAGAAAATTGTTATATCGTACTGAGTAACTACTTAAAAGTATCAGAGTGGATTTATTGCAAAATTTGACATAAAGGAGGCGAACTCAGTTTGATTGAAATTGAAATATAGGCAAGGCATTCAACCTGTTGTCAAAATAATACCATCGAATTTCTATTGAAAAAGGTAAAATAACAATTTTGTAAGAGAAAAAATATTTACAGCATGAAGAATAATGAAATAAACGAAAGATATAAAAAAAATCATGTCTATAAAAATTACAATGTGTCTAAGAATTCATATACAAGTTATACAATAGTTATAACCTATTAATATTTATTATTTAAAAACTCGGTCAAATTTAAACTATATTTGTTTGTTTGTGAAAAATCAAAATGTGTTATAACATTATAAGGTATAATTATGCATATTATTCCAGGCTCTTTGGTTTGTATGTGTGTGTGTGCGCGCGTGCGTGCGTGCGTGTGTGTGTGTGTGTGTGTGATACATCTTCAAACCATTGTGTATAGATGTCATACTTGTCAGAACGATGTTCAGCTAATCTATTTGGAATGAAAATTTACATTCAAAGTTAACATGCAAAATCTCTTCTTGTTACTAAAAATATATTATTAGGAAATGTTGTTATGTTGTACAAATTGTTCCGTTGATTTTATATTTTAACATAAATGGAATTCATACATATTCCTAAATAACGGTTACTCATCCTTTGTATGGTGATATCGTTTTCGTTTTAGTGTGTTTGCTTTTGCATGTAGACAATTTGAATATCTTTAAGGATATTGTTTACTGAAATATTTAATATCAGTACGAATGACATTTAATGATATTACCTGTTATTAGCTTGTTCAATTTACTTAAAATTAGCCAATTGAGTTCATATCCAATGCGAACATAATGTATATCCATTGCTTGTTCTAATTCTCATTTATAGATTTCTGAATATGTGCTGAAATAACATTAAAACATGACTCAGGTTCGTCCCCTTCCAGTTTTGTGAGCATAAAACTTGTTAAAATTTTCTGTAATAATTGGGACAGGTATAGCTAGAGTTAAAACCCCTGAAAGGGCACACATTGATCCAATAATTTTCCCCCAAAATCCGATAGGGACCTGATCCCCGTAACCGACAGTGCACATTGTGATTAGTGCCCACCAAAACCCGTCTGGAATACTACTAATTTGTGAGCCATCAATTTCGTGTTCAGCATAATATATTGCACTAGAAAACAAAAGAATACAAACGCTCATTGCAACAAGAAACAGTAGAAGTCCTTCAAGTGACGCTTTGAAAGTAAGGATCAAGACCTGAAGTCCTGCGGAATGCTTTGTTAATTTGAATATCCGAACTAATCGAACAACACGTAAGAATGCTAGGGAAGTGCTGGATTTTGAGGATTCGCAGCTCTGACTTGTAAGGCTGTTCGATAGAGTAATGTAATAAGGTATAACGGCCGTCACATCGACAAGATTCTTGAAGTCTTTGAAGTAGAGCAATTTGTTTGGACACGAAAAGAAGCGCACAAACACTTCAATCGTGAAAAAAGCTGTGCAGATGGTTTCAAGTATAAAAAACGGGTTAACAAAATCCACGGGATCATCTTTTTCACACTCTTTTTTTAAACCTGGAATAGTTTCAATGCAGAATAAAACTATTGACAACACAGTTATTATCACGGAAACGATTGCAATTGCATAGGCGACGCACGAGGTTTCTGGGTATTCCACCAACATCCAAATTTTTCGTTGTATGGCATTCTCAGGAAGGATCTTTTCTTCTTCGATATATCCTTCTTCCTTTTTATAATGGTCCACAATGTCTTTTTCTATTTCATAGAAATCTAATTCCGACAGAAAAATATCATCTGGAACTGGCTCTGGTCTGTGGAGGTAGCCACCATATTTATAATAATTGAAAACTGCTTCAAATGTTGGTCTATGTCTGTCGAAAAAATATTCGTCTCTTTGTCTATCGTAAAATTGAAGACGTTTTTCCGGATTACCGAGTAAAGTGTCAGGATGTTTATTTAAAATTGATGCCCAAATTTCATAATATTGTCCACTGACGTTAATTGTGATCCTTTCGCATGTCTGTAAATGACAACGATGCGCGATTGGTATGCTGCAACCGCTGCATGGTGACAATGGATCGCTTAGATGCGATGGCGATGATTTACTCGTGTCTAGTGCTGTTTTACTTCCGTCTGAGCCGTGTGAACCCATTCGACTGCCGTGTTTGGCATGTGGTTGAAAAACCCATAGCTGGTCCCCGTCGTCACTGTTCATGCGGTCCGGACGCTCGTACGACTTCCGGAACCGCCTCTGATTCATTATAGACACTACGGCAGCCATAGTTGCGAGCCATCAACTCTCCGAAGATTTTAATTCCTCACAGCCAAAATATAATCAATTTACAATTATACTCCTTGCACCTTTTGAAGAATTACTTGTCGGAGTTCCTGTCTTGTAGACTTGGCGAATCATCACGAGTCGGAATCGATTTGTTTAACGTTATAGCAATTATTCCTGATAAATATAACAATTAATGCTATCGACTCCGGTATTCAATATGACACTATGATAAAAATATTCCTCAAAAAATGGGGTGTTTCCATAGAAAACTGCATCAAGTCGATTAAGTAAACACAGGTACGATCATTGTTCAAATAATAACTGAATGGGAATGTTCTGAATTAATACGGTTCACACAATATGAGTACGAGTGACTCGGATAATCGCTATTGGAGAAAACACAGGCTGTTCCAATGATAGATCAATATCATCTATATTTGTAACCTTCTCCGTTTTTCATGCGATATTAACACGTAAAAGAAGATAAAGAAATAATCAAAATATCATATGCTATTCAGGGCTAAATTATAGAATTATTTGAAGAGAAAAAAATAAAGAAGAGCTCTATTGACATGAAGTATACTGAGTTATTATTGCTGCTTCACATTTTTGCTAGTCAGAATAATTCAATTTAATTACTTTTCAGATTAACGAAACGCAGTTCATTAAACTAATAATATGTGGTCTCTATCAATACATACGCCATTATTCTTTCAATCTAATTTTCATTTTGTAGTTAAGGGGAGTTAATATGCAGTAATGGTTTGTATTAATATGAGCTTGTTTAAAGATATAATGATCGGGATCCAATCATTAACAAGTATATAGATTATAATTTATATCTTTTAATTTGTTTAAGACTGTTTTAGATTTATCACTCCAGAAGTATGAGTTTACCTACGGAAGCGTCCTGGTGCCAGTTTATAATGTTCTGAAGAGAGTAAATCGTCCAAAGGAGATAAAAAAAAGACTAATCAGAATACGTAAGACTTAATAACTCCTACCTAGGAGATTAAATAGCCTAATTAGTACTTTGTGACTCATAGGTCGGAGATAAAAAATTTTTTTTTTTTAGAGTTTATAAGAAGATAACAAGAGCTGTCAGAGGACAGGAACGATCGACAATTCGAAAGAGTTGCCACAAGGGTGTTTCATTGAGCATAATAATGCTTACCTATATGAAAACATAAAATTGTCCGACAGGTACAATGGCTTGTTATTAAAATGTTTTATCAAATAAATCACTGCTTGATTATTATAAATGCATAAATTTGTCACACAAAAGCACAAACTCTTCTGTAGTTATGAAGATACCAGCTTACACACAAAAACTGAATTCAAGTGACATTATGCCCATCCAAGGGTATATAGTGAGTGAATGGGTGAAGATCAAAATATGTTTTCATTTTGCCATAATCCTTTTTAATTTAATAATTAACTTCACATAAACAACAGATAACACACAGATCCAAATGAAATTTCTGTAAATATCCGTTAGAATTTACGTATAACGCTTAGTTTATAAAATTTAAATTTTAGGTAGATTTATAATTTTATTCTAAACATTTTCCAATATCAACTGTTTGTCAAACACCATTTTGACAGTCAATCTTTAGAACTATAAAGTAAATTCAGCTCAACTTGACTATGAAAATATGAGCATAATGTCACTTTAAGAACTTCTAAGTTGTGAAAGTGGCTTAATTATGCAAAAAAGAAAATCAAATTTAATGGTACTTTTACCAATCATGTAAGATAATCACTGACACGAAGCTTACGAAGTTTCAATCCATTCCCTTCTATTTTTATGGAGATACCAGCTTACACGTAAATATGCAAAAAAGGAAATCAGAGTTATGGGACTCGTGTCAATAATGTAAGATAATCACAGAGAAGAACTGTAAAGTTTCAATCCATTCCTTTCAGTAGTTATGGAGATACCAGCTTACACGCAAAACTTAACAAAAATTCTAAGTCGAAAAAGGGGCATAAATATGCAAAAAAGCAAATCAGAGTTATGAGACTTGTGCAATTTCATGTAAGATTATCACAGAGAACAAAAAAACAGGTGTGTGAAGTTTCAATCCATTCCTTTCAGTAGGACATCGACGCCGACGCCGACAATGTTATTATTATTATTTGTCGAGGATACAAACTGCTTTTATCGGTGTTAAACAGCTTGCGATCCATAAATGATACCATTCTGAACTTGATAGGACCGAGTAACGTACGATCAATACAGATAGTTTTACATCTCATTTTTCAAAAAGGCTAAACAAACTTTTTTAATCGCTTTAAAAGTCTTTTTCTTACAAATATCTATTTACACAGTGTTTCCTGATCAAAGATCACTTTAATTGTTACTATGTTTAGAAGTTCTGTTAACTCATTTTTGATGATTTAATGATTCAACTGTGCTTTCATAGTAGACTTAAAACACTCATTTTTATTGAAGGGAGGTTGTAACGATAGTGATTATTATTGTTTATTTTGTATACATTTCTATGTTAATATTAATGAATCTGCAACAATGCATTGGTAAAAAAATAACTCCTTCTACTTTAAAGATTGTAAAATAGACTTTTTGTACAAAGTAAGAATTCTATTTCAGGTTTATCCGACATTGTGTTCTCTACGGTAGTGAATTTATCGACCTTTTGAATTAATTATAGCTTTCGCTGAAGTCAAGTTAATTCAAGAGGCTTGGTCGTTACAGGGAGTAATTATTGTGGGCATTTAATTATTCATTCTTTGTCCAAGGGAAAATAATTGATCCCTACTGACTGTCAGGTCGATATTTGTTAGTATATTGTTTTATCAAAAGGAAATGGATGTATTATACATGTAACCCTGCAGAAACACAGTAAATTGGCATAATGACAAGCCTCATACGGACACTATCGTAAGTGTATAATTCCATTAGGGATACTGAAGAAAGTATTATTAAACAATAATAATTGTTACCGATTTCCCAAAATATTACATTTATCTTGATAGATAAATGCTCCTATTCCCAAAATATCAATAATTACAACTATTGTTACTCAAGTGTATACGGAACAAGTGATACACGCAACTATATGGTGGCTGATTTGGAACGCTTTTGTGTGTCGTGTTGTCGCGAGCGACAGCACGACAAAGCGCCAAACGGCGACTATCGTCTTGTCGTCCTGTCGCTAACGATGCTTGCCAATCGGCGCGTTGTCGTGCGGCATGTTGTCGCGATGTCACATTGTCGCTCGGCTCAAATCGAAGGATTGGCTTATTAATCAAGCTATATCAACGACAATGCGTTGCACGACAACGCGCCATTTGGCGTGCTTCGCTAGAGACAGGATGACAAGATGACGGCGCCGCAAGTAACCGTTTGGCGTGTTTCGCTAGCGACAAGATGAAAAGGCGATAACGATATAGGTAGTGTTGTTGCTATCGACAAAGCAACGCGCAAAGTGTACCAAATCATCCACAGTACTGGTGGCTGATTTGAAACGCTTTATGGCGTCGTGTTGTCGCTAGTGACAGCACGATAAAGCGCCTAACGGTTCGTTGTCGGACTTTGTCCTTATGGACAACGCAACGTGCAAAGTGTACCAAATCAGCCACCATACCATTTGAAGCGTTTAAGGTGACAACATGTTTACGAATCATTTACTTTAGACTGGTTCCCTGCTCATTTCATGAAATCAGACAGTTGCACAGTCTATTATTTGTATACGGGGATAAGAAAACATATTCTTTCCATTTTGAAGAAAATGTAAATAAAGATATTTTGCAACAAAACTTGAAATTTAAAATGGGTCCCGAAGCATATTAAAGCTGATGCATCTGAATGTTTTATGTACTTGTATATTTATTGACGGCTCGCGAAATAAATCGTGTGTTTCCGCAGTTCCAGGTCTAGGTGGACTGACAAGACACTAATTTGTCTCAACAGAGCATGGTCAGAGGACGTAGATTTAGTAAAATTGCATACATATTTCTCATGGTTATAGACCATTAAAATGTCAGTGGACGATTAGCCTTTGAAACCGGCACAGCGCTTGTGGTCATGTGGATAACAAATACAATGTACTTGTGTTTTTAAAACTTGTATATGTATAGGAGAGAAAACAGCTGTGGTCAAAATATAATAATGATAATAATAAAAAAAATCCCGATTCAATGACTTGTAATATTTTAATAATGATGTGTTTGTTTTTCACATTATTATATTGTTGATTCTTAAAAATGCGTGACAGAATATTGTAGTCAAAACAACGCTTGATAAACAATTCACTCTCCATCATCTTGTTGATATATAGCATCGCGCGACTTGCAATACTTTTTTTGACTCTTCTTCAACTTCTGGATAAAGACTGCATGGTACCATGTCGCATATTTATAAGCGCGCTTAAAATGACCGCGTTTCATGTTGCTGAGATATTGCTTACTATTTCCAAAGCTGGGCTCGGCTTTTTCTTTAAAATTTAATATACACGTGATGATCACGGCCACGCATTTTCAGATAAGAATGAGAGAACAAATCGACAAGTGAAATTCGAAATTAAATTTAATTTAATTAATTATTTTTTCTTTTGGTTGTTTTTTCTTCTTTTTCTTTTTCACGGTGCGTAATCATTTCGGGCTAATTTGGAATATTTCCCCGTTCCTGAACTGATATGGATTTATGGCACCCGTTGATTCAGATAAAATGAATTTTTAACTGGACGAGGTAAGAAAATAAAAAAAGTAAACACATTTACATCTATAAGAAAATTCTGCTTGCTCGGAACATTGCAATATTACAACTTTAAAAGGGTTGTTAATGGTTTTCTATCAATTGGAATCGAAAAACAAATTTCACATGTCAGTGAAGTAGTACTTAACACTAGCATAAAATTGCCAACAAAAGTCATTATTGTCTTTGATTTTTCAGGTATTTCATGATAATTAAAAAAATCATTCTACGATAACTTAATGGTTTTAGTAACATGTTTTGTCCGGTAATGAATTTGTAGTACGTATTTTTTTGACAACCGTGTATTTTTTAGGGCAGCGGATTAATTCGTATTAAGGTAAAACAAGCAACGGGCTGATTTAAGGCTGGAGTCAATCAATCGCCGAATTCTCATGTTAAACAAGGGCATTTCACTGCCGACGTCACAAATTTCGAAGATCCGTCAGAAAAAAAAACAACAACTTTAAAGTTCAACTTCTTATTAACAAACTAACATGATATTGAAAAAAGGCGTGAAATGGTCTAAGTAAGTGCTACCGATTCATTTCCGACGGTTTTCATGTTTGTTCTATTCTTAGTTTTCTTTAGGCTGTGTCGCGACGCAGTATGCTATATGCGGTATGTGAAAAGTTTGCAGTTAACAGTGAGCTAAGCAAAAAGGCA